CCTTATGGAGCTCAAAATAATTGTCCCCCCCATGGAATACAGATAATTTCGCCCCTTGTGGAGCTCAAGATAATTGCACCCCCTGTAGAGCTCAGAATAATTGCGCCCCCATAGAGCAGAAGTAATTGCGCCCTGGAGCACAAATAATTGCACCCTGGAGCACAAAAGAATTGCACCCCCCATGGAGCGCAAAAGAATTGCGTCTCTCATGGAGCTTGAAATAATTGCACCTCTAGAGTGCAAAAGTAATTGCACCCTGGAGCACAAATAATTGCGCCCTGGAGTGCAAAAGAATTGTGCCCCCCATGGAGCACAAAAGAATTGTGCCTCTCATGGAGCTTGAAATAATTGCACCTCTAGAGGGCAAAATAATTGCGCCCCCATAGAGTGCAAGTAATTGCGCCCTGGAGTGCAGAAGAATTGCGCCCCCCATGGAGCGCAAAAGAATTGTGCCTCTCATGGAGCTTGAAATAATTGCACCTCTAGAGCGCAAAATAATTGCACCCCCATAGAGCACAAGTAATTGCACCCTGGAGCACAAATAATTGCACCCTGGAGTGCAAAAGAATTGCACCCCCAATGGAGCACAAAAGAATTGCACCTCTCATGGAGCTTGAAATAATTGCACCTCTAGAGCACAAAATAATTGTGCCCCCCATGGAGCGCAAAAGAATTGTGCCTCTCGTGGAGCACAAAATAATTGCACAGGTTGGGACTCGCCAATGAGACCAATGGGCGCAGTGCATGGGTGCCATAAACCTCTGCCAAAGTGGGCTGACCCATTGTATGAGGGGCTTTTTTTCATGCCACCCATCCATGGCGAAAAATTCACCTGTTGTTGCCTGCAGGTGCAACAACAAGGCTGCTGTCAACACATTTGAATACTTACTTCACATACAACAGGTTAATAATATATCTATTTAACTTTCTCCTGTGTGGTCCCCCACAGTGGTACTAACAAGGCAGCACTCTGGTTAACTGCCTGAAAGAACGATGGGCGCAACAATGGGATCCGTGCAATTGGGTGCAACCCATGGGCGCCAGAGGCAAAGTGTGGGGAGCGGCAACTGTGCCAATAAAATCGTGCTGTTTGGTTCTGTTTGTTTCGCACCAAATAGTCAAATTCAGTGGTCGACAACTGTTATTTCACTTCAATCGATACGTAGGGACCAATTTACAAGTCTATGTTGTTTGTGGTGATATATAATATACTATTATGATTGAATTTAGTAGCCAAGTTCTATATCTGTGTCACTATACATGTCAGATGCATTTTCCTCTGGAATGTAGCCTTCCTATTCACTCCTCACGTCGAGTTGAGCTTCAAGCTCCTGCTGGTTTTGAGCTTTAGACATTCATATTGTGTTCCGGTCTGTTCTCCAAGTTGTCGGAGTGAATGTTGCGAAGGTTTGTCATTGACTGGGAAGTTTGCAATGTTGATCTTGACTTCTGGCCCAGTTTCCAAGTGTCTTTGCCCATGATATAATATACTTGTGGTTAACAAGTCAATATACGCAGAGGTAATGACGATTAGTGTTTGAAAGTCCGGTTTGGTCCGGTTTTTTGATGCCCAGGGGCGTTAACCAGTCTGCCTTTTTCCCAGAAGTCAAAAGACCAGACCGGACCGCAAAAAGACCGCAGACCGCGGTTTTTTGCGGTCTATAGACCGGTTTCGGTCTGCATCGGTTTTAACTGGTTTATGATCGGTCTTTAGGCCAATATTTTAAAATTATGAATCGGTAAATTTATTAACATCTCTAATAGCTTCAAAACGAGCCCAATAACGTTAAATTCCGTTAGGAATTGGTGCTTCTATAAAATAAGTCTGGTACATCTATTATTCCCAAAAGTAATTTACATTTTAATTCATATCTCTCTCGTTTTTTTACCAAATCGTACGTTCTTGGGTGCGTTTTAAAGGGTATTTAAGGGGCTACAAAAAACCGGTCCAAACCGGTCAAGACCGGTTCACGTTAACCGGTTTTTTTGCGGTCTTTACATTTCAAAAATAAAAGACTGTAACCGCAGGTCCGGTCTTTTGCGGTCTTGGTCCGGTCTGGTTACGGTCTTTTTCCAGTCACGAGACCGGACTTCCAAACACTAATGACGATAACGTGTTGCTGACACCGATAGTCGCGCTTTGGTCGCGCTTCAGTTACTTTCTTTATTGCAACACGTGATCATTGACGTGTCTTACCATGCCATTCCCCCGTCATGGATTGCTACCTCATCTGTAGAGGTATTCTTTCAAATTTTTGCAGGCACAAACTCATGGAGCGTAGGATGGATTTGTTCAGGACAGAATTTTATAAAGGGGTTTGGAAGGCTCAAAGTAAGATATTAACTGACAGAATATTTGTATTTTTGTGCTAAATTGTATACAAGCACCTTTACTTATGCTCCACCTACATATATCCACACTTAAAGTGGCAATCTACTGTTGTGTTGAAGTAAATACGAGCAGCTGAGACGATCGACCATTTTTTGATCAGGTCTTTGGTGATGGGAAAATTTGGCAGAGTTGAAAATTTGGCAGTGGGTTGCCGCTGGGCCGATCCGTCCTCTATGGGGCTCTGTTCGTGCGGCCCACCCATGTCGCATGGCCTATTTTAGAGTCTCGGCCCAGTCATTCCCAAGGCTGAATTCTTGACAGCTCGGCCGAGTCTGCTGGCCCGCTGTTGATGGGCGCCTGTCACACACCGCTGGCCCATCAGTGATGGACCCATTTGACTGCCCTAACTGCGCGTTCAAGTTGGCGCCTGCGTCAAGTAGTGCTTGGACTACTTTGGGATCTTTCTGTGATGCGGCGTATATGAGTGGGGTCATGTCGTCCCATGGCGCCTCGATATCGGCGCCAGCGTCAAGTAGGACTTTGATGAGCTTGGGGTTTGACCTGCCCCAAGCATCCGCCACGGCGTGCAAGGAACGATCCAATGGGGCTCCGTGTTCAACTAGCAGTTTAATTGCTGCGACACAGGCATTGTAGTAATGCGGATTGGTCCAATCGTGCTTGATGAGTTCATAGATGATATAGGCACGCTTTCTACCCTCAAGCACGAAATTGATGTCAGCACCTTCTTCAAGAAGGGCTTGGAGCACAAGAAGATCTTGGTGTGGGTTCATGTTGAAGTGGCCTAGGTTTTCTGCAGTTGCACGCACTGCAGTCTGTCCGGTGGTTTCGACGGTATTGGTGTCATACCCAAGACGGACGAGGCGTTGGATGAGCGAGATGTCTCCTGCCCACGCTGCAACGTGAAAGGGACTCCACCCCTCATACATTGTCCGGCGACGGACACCGATTCCTCGAACAGGTGGGTTTGGGATGTGCACACCAATGTCGAGCTGAATAGACATGAGATTGGAATTTGTCGCTGTGTTGATTGATCACTTACAAGTGCGACCAACCAGAAATGTGCATAACGTGTTCCGTAATTGCAGACGCGCTTCGCCATTTCGTCGTAGTCGTTTGTGTCAAAATTGGATTGCATTTGGAGGAGGAAGGCGAAGGTCGTGATGTTCAATCGCAGCTCTGGGGGTAATTTGGCAAAAAATGTGAGGGGACTCGGAGATGTTTCGGGATCCATGAGTCGTCTTCGGGTGAATTACAACCAACAAAAGGAAAGGGGTACATGGGCGAACGTCAGCGAGATATAAACATGTGGGAGAAGGAACTCACTTCAGCCGCAAGGGTAGCTACGTATAAGGCCCAACCACTGGCAGCTAGCCTATACGATGCCTACCTTCTAAAGGGTAGATGGTCTTCAAGCGCGGTGCTTCGTCGCGTAAATGCTAAGTTGGTGAAACAGATGTTAGGGGGATTGAATAATCTAATCAGCTGACAAAGCTTGAGCTTGACCGATCGTGCGATTCCGAGGTTGTAAAAGCACAACGTCGTCTATTCTTCTTCTTAACTGGACCATCTCTCTTTGTTAGACCGTTGTTATACTTATCCTATATCAGATTCAAAATCCTGGACTACGCAGCGACGATCGCAAGACACCGTAGCCACCCCACTTCCGATCACTCCATCATCATCTTTCAAATCACCATCGTCTGGGTCCACTAACACCTCTTGATGTCACGCTCGGCTCCTAGTACAACAACCCACAAAAACGAAGACGAAAAGATGGGCCTCAGTACACTTCCTTATGATCTCTTGCTAAACATAGCGAGTTACCTCGAGTTGCGCGACATACATGCTCTTCATTTGGTGAGTTTCCCATTGCTCGCTTTTCTATTTTTTTTTCCTTTTCTTCTCTCCCTTTTGCGCGGGTGGCTTTTTGGATTGGAGGGGCGCCATGGAGAAGATCCTCCATGCAGTGGGGGACGAGGGGGGTGGTCCCAGTTTGGCATTTCAGCGATTCAGGCTTGGTTTTGAAAGTCGCTCATACGATTCCCCACTATTCTCTTTGCTCGGGTCGGTTTTTGGATCGGATGTGGCCATGAAGGAGGAGATGGATGCTCCAAGTCGTGCCACTGGGTGGATAATCAGACGAGTGGGTGGGGCCACCTCTTTCCCTTTCGCTGGAGAGCGAATAATCGTGAACGTTACCATTGGCTGATGTCCCGCGAGGCCTTCTAGAAGTAATCGAGGGAGGGGGTGGTGTCTATCATATGCCAGTTTGGCATCCAGCCTCCAAATTTGGTTTTGAACTCGCTCATACGATTCCTCGCTACTTTCTTTTGTTGTTCTCTTTTTTTCTTCTCTTCCTTGGGTGGCTTTTTGGATCGAAAGGGGCCGTGGAGAAGATTGATGTTCCAAGCCGTGCCAGTGGGTAACCAGACGAGAGCGGTGTGATTCGTAAACGGTACCATTGGGTGACACGGCGCGCGAGGCTTTTGAGGAGTGATTGCAGGAAGGGGGTGCGGAAAACCTTTTGCGTCCTTCTCGTTCAGCAATCCCAGCTTCGTTTTCTTGACGAGCAACAGAAATACAATCTCAGCTAACTTTTTCCCTTCAGACATGTAAATCCCTACAAGACTTCTCCGTAACTCGGCCCATGTACCGCAACCTCGCCAACGACCTCCTCCACCGATGCCGTGCCCTCCCTCTCAAGGGCTTCCAACGCCTAACGGACCTAACCACTCCCCAACTCATCCGTTCCGTCAACAAAGCCACGCGCTACGAATCCGCATGGCGCACACGCGCACCGAGACCTATCAAAGGTGGCTCATACAGCTCCACAGGGATAAACGCACACTCGAATTACATGGACACGCTCCCTGCCAAGATCAACGACGAAAAGTGGTACAAAATCGTCAGCGCCCCTCCAGGCGAAGAAGTCGACTGGCTCTCACCTATAACGTCGAGCTACACCCTCTGCGCGACGAAGAGCGGGAAAGTCGTCTGTTGGGACATTGGGTCCGACACGTGCCTTGCGCAATGGAACCCGGGTTCGAGATGGGAGCTGTGGAAGTGCCGCGTGGAGTTTGAGGAGAGGACGGTGTTTTTTACGATGGCGAAGGTGTTGACGCCTGCGCCGGATGATGACCGGGTTATGAAGTTTGTGTTGATGCGGTTGACGTTTTTTGAGGGGAGTGGGGAGGGGGAGGAGGGGGTAGAAGAGGAGGGGCAGGAGGGAAGGGAGAGACCGGTTTTTGGGCATGTGGCCGAGTTTTGGACCAGGGGCGTTGTGATGAATGTTTTTCTGCTTGATCCTGGGGTGAGGTTGCTATCGGCCTTTGTGTGGGTATCGAGGTCGAATACGATTGGGCTTTATGTGTTGTTGGATTGGGAGGTTGCGGAGTATGTGTTTGTTGATACGGGGATTGAGTGTGTACGTGTCTCGGCTTTTATTTCGACTTGAGCTGATGTTCTTTATAGGTGGCATCGTCGAATTGGAGTTGTATCCTATATGACGAGAACATCGTCATACACTGCGAAGAGAGCGGCGCGGCTTACCAACATTTCTACCCACTATCGCTTTTACGGACGTACACGACAAAGCTAGCGAAGAAAGACTCGATACCGATCATTGCGCATGAAGTGCCACCTTCACGAACACTAACGAAGAAATTCATCTTTCCCGCCATACATGGCAACGACGACTTACCACCCGATACTAATAACCATAACCAACACCAACTCACCACCACCACGACTGCAGCAACGACGTCACCCACCCCAAACCCCAACCCATTCCCCTTCCCACCCTGGTACCCCGAAAGCGCACACTTTGTCCGACAATGGTGGCCCAGCCTACCCAACATCCCACGCGTAAGCTGCACAGTGGTCTTATTAGCGGAACACGATCAAGTGAGCCATCGCACGCGGTTCGTGCTCGCGCAACATTATTTCCGGGTGCCGGTCAATCATGTCGAATGGGATAACTATAATCTGTATGGGACTGCTTCTGGGCTTGGGGAGGCCGTCAATGGCGTGACCCATCCTCCTCCTCCTCCTCGCTCTTCCTCTTCCTCCTCTTCCGAGCCCCCGACCACATCCACCACGACGTTAAGCACCTCCGCGCAAATAGCACAAGACGACGGACTGATGCACCTCTGGTACGTCAGCACGCCATTCGAAGTTGTCCGCGTGTTCGACGCGATCTCTGAAGACGACGACGACGATGGAGGGACGCCTGATCGGCCTAGACCGTTGGTAGCTGTTGATTTTGGACATGCGGTTTGGATTGAGTATGGTGAGGGTGGGGAGGGGGATGGGGATGGGGAGGGTGAAGGCGATTTGAAGTGGTTGAGGTTTGTGACGTTTCCTGCGTTTAGGGATGAGTGGGAGTGTGAGAGGGATTTGGCGAGTGGGCAAGGAGGAGGAGGAGGAGGGAGAGGTGAAGTGAGGACGTTGGAGGTTCCTGATGAGTTGGATTTGAGTGCGGTTGAGACGATTAATATTGATCAGAGTCAGGGAGCGGTTATTCTTTCGGATAAGGATGGGAGGATTTTTATTTTGTGTTATGAGTAGGTGTGCTTTTTCAGTTATTTTGTCATTAATATCTTTTGCTGGCTTAGTTTTAGATTTCTAGTTGTCATATTCCATTGCTTTCCTATGTACCCCTCGCTACTATAGGTTCGTTCAAAGTAATATAGACAGTTTTCTGTGGAACCTCGTCGAGCGCTTCCACGACACGCTATCTTCCTATCGTGGGAAGATGATGCTGGCCCCTGCATCTACTTACACAAACCCCTTTCCTTTCGAGCAAACGGAGACCTCAAGATTCTGTATGACGATGGATTCCGCAACAGCTACCCTCGCCTTTTTTGCGAAGTTACCTCTGGAGCTGCGATGGAAAATTATGACCTTCGCCTTCCTCCTGCAAATGCAGGCCGAATTTGGCACAAATGACTACGACGAAATGGCGAAGCGTGTCTGCAACTACGGAATGTCTGGTGCACATTTCTGGCTGGCGGCGCTTGTGAGTGATCAATTCAGTGACAGATTCAGAATCTCATGTCTGTTCAGCTTGACATTGGCATGCACATCCCAAACCCACCGATTCAAGGAAAAGGTGTTGGTTTCTTCCGTACCCACGAATTGTATGATGGGTGGAGTCCCTTTCACGTCGCAGCGCAGGCAGGTAATATTCCGCTGATACAACGCCTCGTCCGTCTTGGCTATGACATCAATACTGTTGAGACCACTGGAGAGACTGCAGTGCGTGCAATTGCAGAAGAAATGGGCTATCACGACACGAGAGTGCACCAGGATCTTCTTGTGCTCCAAGCCCTCTTCAAAGAAGGTGCTGACATTAATTTTGTGCATAAAGAGGGAAAGTGTGCCCATATCATCTACGAACTCATCCGGCACGACTGGACCAAGCCGCAGCTCTACAATACATGTGTCGCAGCAATTAAACTGCTGGTAAAACATGGAGCCCCACTGGATCGTTCCTTGCACGCTGTGGCAGATGCTTGGGGCAGATCAAACCCCAAGCTTATCAAAGTGCTACTTGATGCCGGTGCAGGTATTGAAGAGCTATGGAATGGCATGACCCCGCTCGTGTATGCTGCATCACAGAAAGATCCCAAAGTAGTCCAAGCACTACTTGATGCAGGTGCCAGTTTGAATGTGGTTGGTACAGGAGAGGGTATCCTGTTTGCAGCAATCAGCCCTATCAAGGATCACTACGTTTATGCACCTACCACTGCTCAAACGTTGACAGTGCTCTGCAATGCTGGTGCAAACACAGCACAGCTGAATCATGACAACCACAGCGTCCTGTCCTTTGCGTTGACGGAATCTGGCTACAGTACAAAACGACATCGCACCTGGGACACTGTGCCGGCTGTGGTTGAAGCACTCTGCAAAGGTGGAGCAGATGTTAATATCCATCACCACAATGTCCCGTATGGGCCGAAGAAAGGCGACACTCCTTTGCATGTTGCCATTGATGCAAGTACTGGGAATCCTCGTGCCAGCTCTGTGGTGCGTTCTGAGTGTGTTGAGATATTGATCTTGCATGGTGCCGATGTCAATGCTAAAAATGACGCTGGACAAACACCTCTGCACTTGGCTGCTGCTGCACGAAACAACCTTGCTTGTGCACAAGTCCTTTTACAACATGGTGCCAAGCTGGACGTGAAGGATTCTGATGGAAATACGCCACTCATGCTGGCACAAGGTGAAGTGGTAGCTTTCCTCGCGGAACAGGAACATGAAGCAATGGGTACCAGAGAGATTACAGAATAGTGAGAAAATGTAGAGAAATTTACGTGATTGCTTGTTACTTTCAGTTACACCATCCATTCAACAACTAAGTACCTCCATGCATAACCACACAAACATCCTCAGGCTGTTCGAGAGCATAACTCTCATATCTGAAGCTGTTCGGGATGACCCTAGTCGCGTTTCCAGCTGAATTCTGATTGCTTTAGCAGACACTTGCCATGACGTTGCGCTCCATATGTACCACAACCTCGCCAACGGCCTCCTCCGTCGATGCCGCGCCCTTCCCCTCAAAGGCTTCCAACACCTAACGGACTTAACCACCCCCCAATTCATCTGCTCCCTCGACAAAGCCACACGCTGCACAACATCCGTGGTGAGCGGTGTTAGAAACACATACTCGTGACGTGTTTAGTGTTTGAAAGTCCGGTTAGGTTAGGTTATTGGGTGCCCAGGGGCTCTAACCGAGACCGAGACCGGTTAGGGTTCGTTCCCAGACCCAAAATAACCTAACTGGACTGAAGATAACCGATGAAAACCGGTTAGTTGCAGTTACTAACCGGTTAGGACCGAAAAAATAGAAAATCGATTAAAACGGCGTATATTTCTCATATTCCTTGCAGTAAACATTATTGCCATGCGTCGTAGCTTTAAAACAAGCCCAAGAACGCTAAATTCGGTGAAGAATTGACAATTTTATAATAATATTCTTGAAAGCCTACTATTTTAGCCAATAATTTAGAGATTTGACCATAACTCTGTCAGATTTTTAGTGTTTCTCATGCTTTTAGATGCATTTTGAAGGGGTATAATAGGGTTGGTTGTAACCGGTCATAACCGGTTTTTTAACAGTTAGTTAACCGCAAAATAACCGGTTATTTCATTTCCAGAATTGACTAACCACTAACTGCGGTCCAGTTTTTTTGCAGTTAGGTCCGGTCTGGTCTCGGTTATTTTCCAGTTAATTAACCTAACTTCCAAGCACTAGACGTGTTACCCTGGCGCCTTGTATGTCCTGGATCGGAAGTGTTGAATGGGATGTAGCAGAAGTCAGTGCATACCATTCACAAGAGGCAAGGACGGACAAAGTGGTCTAGATAGAAGGAGATGGCGCCGTCTGACACTGCTTATTCCTAAAGAGAGAGAAAGGAATGATGAGCCTGTGTGAGAAAGGGGAAGAGAAAGAGGATGTACAGATGATTTTCGGTTTGGGTCTGAAAGGGCTGAGTGATTCGAGGACTTTGTTGTATAGGCAGTCATTAGCTGTGAAACCAGTGACAAGGGTGACATGCTATAACATATACTTGGGTGAGCGATATATTTAGAGGAGCAGTGGTCACGGTGTAAAGCTCACAGAGATACTCTTGTGTGCCAAGAGCGGGCTCATTTTTACGCTTTCGTTGGGTTCTAATCCTAACCTTATGTTGACTATCTATGGTGTAGAATCTCTATGGATTTCGTATGGATTTTGAATTCGTTGTGAGATAGCAAGGCTAACGGCGTCAATGATCTCGTGGTCAAAACCGTGTGAACAGATATCTCAAGAAATGGACAACATCCGATGCCTGGAGGAATACTAGGAACGCCGACATGCGATACTTGTGCGATACCAGTGCATTACATCGCAAAAGAGTCATCCTTTCCAAGGACGCCTTGTCTTCACATGTGCGTGATCTACATACTATATTTATCCACGAGTTGGCAGCACTAATGTTGGGTCTTTCAAATAAGTTACTACGCCGACGTGATTTCAAGCCTACTTGCTCGACCTGTCCCAGGATAGAAATGCTGCAAAAAACGGCGAGTGTCTAGATTGCATCCTTATCGATCCAGGGGTATCTCATTCGTCCTGGCTCAGTTACGGAAAACCTCTGTTATGGTTGTGCTGCCGTTGTGCTCGTCCATATCGAGCCCAAAGGGAAACTGCATCCCCTAGCTATCACAGAGGTACATCCAGGCTTCAACGACCATCTTCAATTGCTGTATCAGCTCGGCAATTCCAGGAGATGAGTACTCAGACTGGCCGTTACGTTACGCAAAGATGTGCGCTCAAGTCTCGGATTGCCATGAAGTTGCTGTCCACCACAGCAGAGGAAATTTCCTATGCCTTCCTCAAGCCATCGTACAACAACTTCAACTGGACGAATCGCTATGTTCCCAATGATCTGCGGAAACGCGGCTTCCCACTGGAAGACTTGAACAAGGCCAAGTATTGCAACTATGGCTATGCACGCAATATTGCCTGCACCTGGGAAATTCTGTGAAAGTTTGTTAGCAAGGCATTAACAACTGCATATCCAGGTGGCGACACCCAAGTTGCAAACGACCCATCTGTTGCTGCCTTTTGTCAGGAAGTTCGCTCTGGCTCTTGGGGCCAGCAACCCAGCTTCCCTGAGATCAAGACGTTGGATGGGTTGCGACCATGTGTCCATGTCCGACATCGCCACAGCACACCGCGGTCAATTACTTGCAGCAGTATTACCAGACCTTCGTTCCCAATAAGCCATCGGCCCCCTGTGCGGCCAGACTTCCTCAGTCGTCGACGGAGCTCCAAGCTTGCGGGGAGCAGGATGTATTCAATATTGTTGGCCCTTCCCGTCCGTCGTCAACGAGATTGGCTGATAATGGCTCAAGACCTTACCTGTTGTTATTTGAGATGCTGGCGACCAAACGATCCTCCATTATGCGACGACGACCTGCAATGCATTTCCGGAGTCTGCATTATCGACTCCGGAAATCATCCGTGATGCTGCCAAAACACTGAATTTGAAGGAAGACCTTGAAGCGTTCCAGTATACTAAGCCAGGAACTTAACGATCAGAAAACGCGGTATTTTGTTCTGGATCCAAGCAAGACTGCAATATCGATTCTCATATAGTGTCACCCCTATTGTATGATATATGTAATTCTAGCGTTGAGGAGCGTTTAGTTAGATCTCCAAAGTGTTAGGAAAGGATCCGTACATGTTGCGTACATGTATGTAATCCTCAAAAGTCACATTGCGGCATACAACTTGACCACTTCTTTACTTCTACTATCCCAGGTTGCCGCAATCTTGCCAGAGATCTACGTCAATATGCCTACCTCTTACAGAATGTGAGCGATGAACAGCCCCAGCGACTCAGCGTACTCTCGATTGCCAAAGCTTCATCGTATGGCACCGCATCTATTGGGCTAAAGGACTCAAATCTCCTTGACAACGTGTCTAGTTCAAAGACGAGGAGAGGATATATGTGTTAGCAGCTTCACATACTACACCTTTGCACGCAGGTTGAATCACTGGCACAGGACAATCCAGAGATCTTCCCCAATTCCATGCCAAAGCCGGCAGTGACACACCTACCCCGTCTCCTACTCTTCAAAGTTTCAGCTTTTGAACTTTGCATATCACGAAACCCAAAACAAAAGACAGAACAAAACGAGGAAGACTTTTCATTTTGAACACGGATTCTTGCTACTTATCAAGACACTGAGGTTCCAACAAGGCAGAAGTGCTTGTTGAAACTAAGGACCTGCCCACCCATTTACCTCATCTTACCACCATCCCGCCGACGAGTGTCATCCCATGCCCCATTCCTATCCCGCTGCCTTTCCACTTGGACGCCTCGTCATTCTCCGCCCCCTTGAATGTTTTAATGCTAACTAAATGGCCATGTGCGTTCTGCATGTGAGATCTAGAAGACTTGTTGGCGTGTTCGCACAGACCTTGCAAGTGGGTGTGACGGCCAATGGGGACCTAGGGCGGGATTATGAGAGTGGGAGGTGAGAACGCGCGTCCGGAGAGAGAAATGTGGAAGGAGGATGACCCAGGAAGCTGGCTATGAAAAAGATCACAAAGCTGGACAAGACCTACGCAAAGCTCTCGGCAGGGACGTCACCTCCATGGACATGGAAGTTGTCAGAAGTTGCCATCATCCTTCCAGCCCTACGGTCTACCTACATGGAAGACGGGTAAGGGGACGCCAGAGTTTTGTCTGGGACCAGGAATAAGTCCCCAGAGAAGGCTAGTGAACGATGCAGTCCCGCATTCGGAGATGGTGTCGTTCCCCAAAGTGGTGTTGGGACGGTGAAGGACCTGCGTCCCCGCATGTGTCAAGGTTGAGGAAGAAGCCGAATGGAGATAGGCCTACACTGAAGTGGAGGAGGAAGAAGAGGGGTGATAGGAGGAGGATGGGGTCCTACTACAGGTGCTGGCGTTGGCGTTGGTGCTTAGCTGTGGTGTTGCAATCTGCAGGCAGCATGGTATCCGAGTCCAGCCTCATCCTCTATCTTACAACAGGAGAGGGAAATGCAATGTCTTCTGCCCCGCCGTACTCGCAGCTCTCTATCGAAGCACAGTGAGAGACACCTACCATTTTCAAACATCGTACGTGTTTCGGAATTCAAGTCAAAGATCCATGTTCATCGGCGTTATATCATAGGCAAATGCTATTTTGAGAAATACAGCATCGTCACCATCATTGGTCAGATGCCAGGCATGTGGGAAAACTACTCATGCGGTTGGGTTCATAGCACTCTGATCTCTTCCAAAACTGCCACTACCTCTTCGAAGCAGGATGGGCTGCTGAAGAAAATGTTACCACTTGTACCCATCCGCGTCGCGTCGCTGCCACATCTGTTGTGACAATAGTTGCTAATGGAGCAGGGTCTGTGTTGTGTGATGAGCCTGAGGTGTGTGCCATCATCCCAGTAATTCCTTTATCGTCACATCGACCTGCAGGTCAGCTATACTATCCGATTTGAAGATGTTATTGACAAAGAGAGGACCTCCGACCCGCATATGTTACATGACAGAAGGCATTCAACTTTCGTAGATCCTTTCCTGAGCCATTACAGCATAGGATTGGGCACTCCCACTGTATGTAAGTGTCCTGGACAGTTGCAGTCTGATATTTCTTCTGGCCTGAGCACGTACCAGGAACGCCCGAGGCGGAACTTTTTGCTAAGTACCGGTCTGATTTAGGCACAAAGGTACTTCTGGAGTTGTCTGGAACGTTCAACTCTTGCTCTTAAAGTCTTTCCTTGCTCTTGTCCTTCACCCTCTGTTTCCCATCATGGCAGATCCATTTTTCTTGCTCAAGGATGAGGAACTGTTCAGGGGATCTTCTCTAACAAGAAGGACACATCACAGCAGGCGAAATCTCTCGATCATTATGATGTCAGACCGTTAGTGATGTGCAAGGGTTTGTCAACCCTCCAAGGGTCAGGGGTAAGGGTCAGGAGGGTAAGGGTCAGGGTAAGGATTTTGTGACCCTCAATAAACCCTTGACCCTTCTGGAGGGTCAGGGGTTTTTCAGGGGTTTTTCAGGGGTTTCATTTCTCTAATATTAGGGTAAGTACTTCAGATAAAATGATTTTAAATCACATCAAATCAGATAAAATATCATCCAAAGAGGCCTCACTACCTTTGCAACACTTAGCATTGTTCAGAATACACTGAATTCCTCATATTTCATCAAAAATTTACTGAAAACCATGTGTACTGTCATAAATATACTTGAATGATGTATATTTCAAAGGCCTCTTGCTATTTATTTACTATCTATAAAGCTTGAGCAGTTATTTGCTCCAAACCCTTGTCCAAACCCTGCTGGGGTTTCTTACAGGACCCCGGTCAATAGCAGAAACGGTCTGATCCCGAAAATGGGGGTTTTGTCCGGACGCCATTTCGCAGTTTCTGTCCGGATTGTACCCGGCCTACCTCAAATTTTGTAAATTTGTCCGGGTTGGTGGATCTGGGGGTTTTTCGGCAAAAATTCATCCGGATTTGCAGATCTAGCCATTCCAGGGCGTAAAAATCGGCCCAGGTAGGCGCAAAGAGTCCAGAGACGCCCCCAGAGCTTCAACAGACAAGAATCAGTATTCTCGATCTATCTACAAAGTCCATGAGGTTCCTGGAATGGCTGACAGGCTATCCGGGCTTATTGAGCATAACAACTACAAAAACACGTGAAAAGTAAGGACAGTGCACAAAATGTTTAGTGCAAGGATCGAACACTCATTCTCAGGGAAGAGTGGCACACGCCATATCGCGCACTTCACGACTCAGCTAAGAGACCTTCTGTCCGGATTGCTGCCTGAGGGTGTATGTGCCCTGAGCAATCCTGTCCGGGCTGGGGTTCTGGCTAGTTTCAACGTTTGGTCACTTTCTGTCCGGACTGGCTCCCGGCCGATTTGCAAAAATCCAAATTTTTTGTCCGGATCGGGACCAGACCGTTTCTGCTATTGACCGGGGTCCTTTTCTTACCCTCCAACCCCTGAGATACCCTTACCCTTACCCTTCAAAACCCTTGACCCCAGCCAAGGGTCAAGGGTTTTGGAGGGTAAGGGTCAGGGTCAGCCTGAGTTGACCCCAGGGTTACCCCTGCTCATCACTACAGACCGTTTGACTTCCAGAATCTATCCGAAGCGAATCACTTTCACAATGTTCTATACGATACGGATGGCCGTACTCTCAGCGCTTCTGGCTGGCAGAGGGCAACTTTCTCAGCTTTTCGGGTCGTACCAATTTACAATCTGAACCCAAACCGCGTTGTTCCTGGATACGATGATTCCATCAAGAAGGCTGAGGTTGATCTAGCATATAAAACAATGCTGGGAAACCTATTGGCTGCAACTGAACCTGATCTCTCGTCTGACCCCCTCTTTACCGCCGGCAGCAAGAGAACGACAGGGCATGACTCAAAACCACTCGTTTCTGGAGCTCGGGCTATTTCAAACTTTCTATCCAACCCTTTCTTCACGTTTTTTACCGCTTTGCGTGACCTACGAACTCGTAGGCTTACTGAAAAAGATATCATTGAAGATGATAGTTCTGAGGAGGACGAAGGCATCAAGGGTGAACAGGGAAGCGAGGAGCTCCTTCATCGGTTCATGGAGGTTATCCTGGCCTATCACAACACGAGGCATCGCTTTAGCGAGGATCGGCTTTGGAGGTGATTTATCTGTTTGCTGCTCATCTACCTCTTACTCATTTGGATGCCAAGTACGCCCCACCATCTCAGCCTCGACGTCGCCGTAAAAGCTGAAAAGAAGGGCTTCATTAATTGTTCAGCCGTGGATGACGGATATCTTTACCTCAGTGGCTCCAGCAAGGTCACTGGGGGCAATCGGTTTTCGAAAATCCCTGTCGTCAGATATGAGGCTAGTTCCGTCCCCCTGCTGATATTTCCCTCATGTTCATCTACATGATTCCACAGGCGAAGACTTTGAATGTAATCGTCACTGTATGTATGCCATGCCCTCTTTTCCTCCGCAAAATTCGGACATTTCATATGTTATTTTAGGAAAAGAAAATAAAGCAGATCAAGAACGATTATGAAGCCACAGCCCAACAATTTGCTCAGATGTTATCCTGTATTCAGCTTGACACCGAATCAGCACCTCACATCGTTAGCAATGGCTTTGAGGTAGTTTATATCCACCACTGCCGCATGCATCTATCTCTCGGTTAACAACATGTTCAGGCATTCAGTATCCGGATCGCGCACACTTATCTCAGCATCGCTAGGGTGTATACTCCGAAGGCTTATTTGGAAGACATTTTGCACAACACACGCCCAAAGGAAAAGCCTTTCATCTACTTTCAAACAACGGAGAAGTTTGATCTCTTGACAAGTGGTGGTCGGGAGCATGCTGCAAAAGCAATTTGGGCTCTCCTTCTCCATCTCAAAAGTGGCAATGCACTCGTTGGTCGACTTGCATGGAATCGCCGTCAACCTGGAGGAAGTAGGGTGATTTCTTTCTGTAAACTGTGCCTCGCTGATTTGAATGTATGCTAGGCGTTCCGGTTTGGGGCTTGAAGAATCCTAAGGACACATGTTTCATAAATGCCATTTTCCAGTGTCTTGCTGGGACTACCGAGCTATTCGACTCAAGGGGACGACAGAAGTCGGTTATAGACTACATGCTAGAGAGCCGTTCACGAGCGATCGAGAAGACATACCTAGGATAGCTCGAAGTGGAGAACGGCACTCAGTGAGATGCTTGCGGAGCTAATCTATGCTTTGAGGGTGGGTGAGAGAACCGACGCTTTGCGAGACCAATTTGAAGTAAGTGCTTCGTCGGAATAGAAAAACCGTGAAGTCTTAAAACGTTGTAGGAATCGTATTTTGGGTATTAAAAAAATATGTCTCTGGACCATGGGCCACACGATGCGTGTCAATTTCTCAATTTCATGCTTTCTCAAGAATCAGAAGCGTTTAACTACTTGGCTCCTACATTCCGCGGAAAACTGAAGTCTGTCGTGATGTGCAACTGTCATCTGGTGAGACCATTTGTTCCAGTCGCGATCAGATTTAACTTATGTCACTCCCTAGCCTTTGAAATTGCCCGACAAAGAGGTAAGTTCCATTTATGTATGGTGAACCGACAGCTGATGTCCTCTATTAATTCTAGAGAAAACCCACAGCAGTGAGCATGATTGCCGAAGTCACGATTTGATTGGCTAATTTTTGACACAGCATATCTCCGAATTGCCGTTCTACGTTCTTGAGCTTTCCCCAGACTCCACTCAACTACCAAAATCTGGAGTTCCTGTCAACATAGCTAGTATCATCGAAAGCAGCCTGCTGATACGCGGAAGTTTGTACGTTGTGCCTCCGTTTACTTGCGATGACATCGTGTTCAACTTTTGAGTCGACAGTGTATGCCCTACCATAAAGGGACCATCCTCGGTTGCTGAGCAGACGAAGTCGTTTACGCAGCTGCCTCGGGTGCTCATCATATCACTTCACCGCTTCGAGATCAATGTTTACAATGCGTCCAAAGGCAAGAAATCCCGCGAAAGGGTCACCCTGTTCGGCAATGATGTTCTTGCCCCACTTGATGGTGGTAGCACAAAGAAGTACCATCTCTACGCAGTAGTGGCTCATACGACCGATGATAAGAACCCCAGCAAGGAGCTGGATGTTACGTTTGGCTCCAAAGGAGTTGCAATTGGTCAATGTAAGCTTCCTTCTAGCGTACCCTTGCACTCATCAAACATATGAACAGATATTGCATATGTACAGTATGGCCCCAAGGATAAACAGCAGTGGTATGAATGCACGGACGGTAAATCCACGGATGGTGAACGCACGTATAGTGAAGTCAAGGCTGTCAACCCTGAAACAAATCCTGTCCTCAAAGTAGGTGGCGATCACAGGAAATTCTTTTGTGCATCCGTTGATAGCTCTGCTTTTCAGGAATTCATTGAAAGGAACGCCCAATTGCTCTTCTACAGAGAAGTCGATGAGATTTCTACGTAATGGCTAGCTGTTATGAATGGCAATGCAACTGTGGTTTCAATTTGATATGCGTGGCCAAGCAGCCAGATAATCTCTGAGAATGTTGGATTGGTGCAAAAGCTTCCGTCCATGAGCATAACGTGTAGCAGCATCAGCAGCTCCGGGAGTTCATCAATGCCATGCATTGTCGTCTTTGTACCGGGGGTAACAATTGTCCCGAACCCCCTGTAGTGATCCGCTCTGGGAGCCTGGGCAGGGGTGAACGTAGTTGGCTCACGAGCGAGCCATGCATACGCCGTTGGAAAACTCTAATGATGGCGGGTGAGCAAGCCAAATTATACGTCTGAAGCTAGGGGGTTGGAAGCGTCGCAAGAAAGATGGCTGCTGCAATGAAAGGGATCGATGGAAGAAGCAGAGACGACTCCGACGATGGAAGGTTGATGCCGTTGCCTTTTCGCACTGGCATGGGGGTCATTAGCTCTCATGTTGTCACAGAGATGGTGACGTGATCGTTTTCTGCAGAAGATGGGCAGATATTTCTGGCGTGTCTTTGAGCAAAAGTAGCGACGCCGCTGATAGAGTCCAAGGTGAAGATGCAACGCGGGGAACGATCCACAATAGGCAGTTGTGAGCCTGCATGGTATCAGCAAATAGAAAGAGAAGGGGGGGTACCAGTTCACGTACGATTCTTGAATGACCACAGGGCTCATCATCCACGAGGTGGCACGAATCAAATACGTTGGAACTTCCTCTGAATTTCTACGTATTTCCAAATCAGCAGAAGGTGACTTACATGACAAAAAAACGCACATACCTTCATCCCTCTTGAAAGAAAATTCCGCTACTTCGCCCGTTCTGCCAGGTTCAGGCTCTACGAACGCCGGACACGTCAAACCCACTGTGTCAAAACCAACAGAAGGGAAAAACTTACATAAATACCATCAACACCCCGTCCTTCTAGTATTGATGTTTGAACATAGCTTTCGCCAGAATTTTCCCTCTCAAACCCTCGCGTTTTCTACACCAAAAGATCGTGTAAGTCATCGGAAGAATTAGGATTGTAGTGAAACACTGACAGCATGCAAGAAGACGGCTCCAACGGACGCGGAACGTTACAATGTCGAGAGATCACGACCGTCCGCCATTGTGAAAACACAGTCACTGTCAAGACGTTAAAGGTAGGAGGCGGCGTCGTCCAAACGACCTTTGATTCCATAGCAGTGGTTACAATGAGAAAAATGAACGTTGCTAGACGATTTCTGGGAGCCTCTGCGACTTCAGTGGCTTGCGAAATTGTCCACGAGCAGGTTACGAGAAAGAAAGCCTGTTCACCGCACAACAAGTGAAAGGTTGAGCATAAGTTGGTTGGGGTAAGGGAGAAAGTAAAGCACCTTGAAGCACGGTCATTTTGCTTCCACCAATTTTTGCCATTTGAAGTCGGAATCGACAACGCGTTGAATAAGTGTTCTTGGAGTGAAGAGGTTGGCCATCGGAGCGAGGAACTTGGTCGTTTTAGATCTGCCGGAGGTGTTTCGTTTGACGAGTGAAAAGAGGGCAAAAAGGACTGACAAACCCGTGTTTCAACCGTTGCTCATAATTTTATTCATTTTCTTTGTTTCTGGGGCCAAAGCGAAGAGAGTTCTTCGTGTATTTAGCTCCCTATCGCGTCAAAACCGCAAAGCGGCGGTCGTAATCGTGGATGAAAGGCAACTTGTGACTGTCCACATTTACTAGTCACCTCCTCATCTTGACCTCCATCGTCTTCTTCGTCCTAGGGAGCTACCCTGTCCTATTCAGCGCATTCTTGCCGTTATCTGGAATACGAGTAACGTCTTGCCTCTATGCCACTAGGGAGGAAGGTCTAACCTTTCGGCCGACTAGCTTCTCGACGCCCTTGCGCAGGATGCCCACTATAAGTACTTCATTCTCCTGCTTGTGCCGACCGGGTCGTACTTTGTGATTGCGAACTGGGTAGGGTGGCAGTACTATCAGAACTCATAGAAGGTGAGCGCATATTTGCGTGTCTTGACTCAACTCACCTTCGAAAGAGGTAGCGTGCCGTCTGCTCGACTCTGCGTACACGCAGATGGAAAGGTGCGCCAACGAAAAGCCCATGCGTCACTGCCTTTCCTTCAATCCCAGTCGCAAAACACGTTAGCGAAACTATACTCCAAACCTTCATCGTGCCTCTCAATATTTCGGTGGACAGCTACGCATTTAGCAGTTGCAAGGCCACTCTGACTCCCATCTATAGGCTGCTTGACCCCATATCACGGCAATTAATCATGAACCTCCGCTGGCTGGAATCAGCCATCCCAGCTTCGACCATGCAAGCATGGGTTACACGGGAAGGGAAACCGTAAGTACTTCAACTACGTCTACACTCCCTTTTTGACCTTTGTATTCTCGATAGGGTATACACGGAAGCTCTTGCCAATTTCGCAAAATATCCCATCTTCCCAAATTCTGCGATCAAGTTGGCGGTGGTTCCGACTCTAAAACGAGTTTCCGGCAAGCTATAACAGGGCGCGTATGCATACTTGAAATAACATGCACTGGACTGATGCTCTCCTAATGTAGGGGCACTAGTGGGAGTTTGGTGTTCCTTCATAGAAAGACGACAAACGAAGTGACGTTGACATCGAATTTCTTGATGTTTTTGCGTTTGAAAGATGGGAGGTGCGACCTATTCATTTTCATAACTTCTCTCAGTCGTGAACATCTCATTCAGACGATAGTGCACTACATGGTCTCCTCCGAGTCAGCACAAAACGCGACCTGTCCGTGTATCATTCTTACTCCAGCGAAGTGGTCTCATGACGACCGTTGGGTATGTAAGGTATAACGACCCGTCTGGATGATTTCTCAAGTATCCGCAAACAAGGCCCTTTGTAGATAACGTCTACGGGGTTTCCGTTCCTCCTTCATTCACCTCATGAACAGCTCTGGGAGTTGTTATTGCAGTATCTGCACCTTACGGAGGTGGTGTTAGCTGCCACGATCTGGGTCGACCTAACTCTTTCTTCAGGAGCGACAAATGGACTTGGTCGACCTTTTAGGCTTCCTCTCCATGCTATGAACCATGGAGCTTGGCAAAGTTAGTTCTAACACATTTCTAGTCGTTTTCCGCTGACTTGGAGAACTAGGAATACTCCACAGAGCATCTCGGTAAAACTCAAACGGCCATGCTCGAAGCTCTGTTAGACTACGGTCTGAAATGGCGGCGCAAGGTTGGTCTCACACCCCTCATACTACCCTCACTCTCAACCAATATTATAAGTAGCCATCTTCAAAGTTCAAAACGTTTCCCGCCTTGCTACAACATTAACATCCTGGTCAGACTTTCAAGATCTTTTCACAAGCCTCCGGCGCACAGTTGCCGTGTATGGTAGGTTGCTGGGGACACTTTTGTGAGTCTTTTGTCGCCACTGACCGAAGTCTTGACGTCAAGTTCCCAGCGCCCGGAGGCTCCTCATTGTCCTGTGACGGGCCTGAGATTCGATTCCCTGATCCGGAAACCACTCTTATTGTCTTCCGGAATGACCAAACAAAGGCAAATAGCCGATCTTCCTCTTTGTCTCCTTGCAACAAAAGAGAAATGGAAATTCGAAGACTCTTCTCTGTCGTTCAAGCTCTTCACGCTCGTTGAACGATGCGTCGCAGCAAGGCTCTCGCTGTTGATACCAACGAGCTCGTATACGAACTTGCGATAACTCCACGATCTTCCATTGACTCTGACATCAAGCTCACGGACATCAAGCACGATGATACTCTACCTACACTCGCTCCTCAACCACCTGCGCAACCCACTATCACTCCCTCTATTCGCCTCCTTTATTCTCTCATTTCAAAGAAACACTTCCTCTGCCTTCTCATCCCTGCCATTCTTTCATCCGTCATTGCCGGTGGCATAGCGCCTTTCATGACCTATGTCATTGGCCAGGCCTTTGACGCTTTCGCCACCTTTAATCGTGCTCCCAATCCACCGGAAGCAGCCAAGGAACAGCTCTTACGTGGTGTAGGTTTAGCCGCACTCGAGCTCATCGGACTTGCTGTTGGCTCGCTCGCCCTGGGCAGTATCACCTCGTCTTTGTGGATATGGACCGGAGAAATGAACGTCAAAGCACTGCGCAAGGCTGTCTATGACGCTGTAACTCACAAGGATATGGTTTGGTTTGACACCCATATGGGTGCTACCGATGCTACTGTCCAAACCGAGGGTGATGGCCCAATCGGTGCTGGCGGTCTCATGGCCAAATTTACCAGGTTTGCGTTTTTTTTTTCTTCAGCAAACTTTTATTGTTCAATCTGACAAACGATTTCAGAGAAACTGATGACGTTCGAATGGCGACGTCTCTTGCATCCGGTACCCTCGTTCAATACCTCACTACGTGCCTTACCTGCCTCATTCTCGCCTTCATGCGCTCCTGGGCACTCACCCTCGTTATTTTATCGGCAGTTCCACTCCTAATGTTCATCCAGGGCCTCTCCCAAGGCTTCGCCTCACCTCTCCTCGCCTCTGAGCGCCAGCATACCGCCATCGCAGCAACCATCATCGACCGCGCCATCACTGCTATATCCACCGTCAAAGCCTTCAACGCCGCCTCGCACGAACACGAACGCGCCACCTCCTCATTTGTGCGTCTCCAGGCCGCGTCACAGCGGCTCAACGCAGTCTGGGGGATGACCTCGGCTCTCGCCCAGTTCGTTATGATGGGGATGTTCGTCCAGGGCTTCTGGTTCGGCTCCAAATTGGTCAGAGATGGCAAGGTATCCGCTGGAGATGTCATGGCCGTCTTCTGGGCGTGCCTTATCGCCACGAGTAACCTGCAAATGTGCATCCCTCAGTTCATCCCCCTCGCCAAGAGGAAAATTCGCCATGGTCTCCCTTTGTTCTCTCGTCTCCTCTGATGAGGTCCCACCACCACCAACAGTTTTGCACGAATCTGTTCACATCCCCTTCCGCATTTTCCACCACACACACCATTCCGCCTCGCAACTCCCCGCGCAGCTTCGAAAAATTCACCCCAACAAGATGCTACGGTGAACTCGCGCTCAACAACGTCACCTTTGCCTATCCCTCCCGGCCCACCATTCCCGTCTTGTCCAACGTTTCGCTCTACCTCCCAGCCAACGAAACGACATTCATCGTTGGATCTTCTGGCTCTGGAAAGTCCACTGTTGCACAGCTTCTTTTGAGGATGTACGAGCCCCAGTTTGGAGAGGTCAGCCTTGATGAGCAGGATATGCGTTTTCTGGACGAGGAGTGGATGCAGGAGCAGATAGCTGGTGTTAGTCAGGGTGGGGTTGTTATCCTGGATGGGAAGAGCGTTTGCGATAATGTTGCGGCTAGTGTTTGGGGGAAGCGTGGAGTGTCAAGGACGGAGGTTGAGGATGCTTGTCGAGCTGCGCTCATGCACGAGTTTGTTAGGGACTTGCCAGATGGGTACGAGACGGTTTTGGGTGGAGGAGCGGGAGGAGTTGGGCTTAGTGGTGGTCAGAAGCAGCGCTTGGCTATTGCTCGTGCTCGGTTAAGGAATCCAGCGGTTTTGATACTTGGTATGTTTTTGACTCTCTTTTTTTTCAATTTAGATACTCACTGTGTTTGAATAGATGAAGCGACTTCTGCGCTGGACGCTACATCTCGCATTCTCGTGTTCGAAGCTATCAAATTATGGAGGCAGAATAAGACCACCATTGTTATCACACATGATCTGTCGCAGATCACCCCTGAAGATTTCGTTTATGTTCTCAAGGGCGGACAGGTTGTCGAGCAGGGATACCGATATGACTTGGAGAGCATGCCTTCTTCTCCTCTGAACCCTAATGCAGACGAGGAGGAAGAGGAGGGCAAGGGCGAGTTCCGCAAAATGATGGAAGCTCAACAAGAGACGGGCGGATATCTTCCTGTGAAGGAGGTGGAGGATGAGAACGCCAAAGACCGTGGTGACTCTCCTTCTTTCGAAGAGAATCCTGAGACGGACTCACAGCAAAGTCACCCCGCTCCTGCTCACCTGAAGCACCAAAGCGTCGCCATCCGCCCTCTGACGTTGGGTAATTGGATGTTTGATGTCGTTGCTGATCTGGTCTCGACTCAAGTTCCAAGTGCAGCCGTCACCACTCAACGACCCCCGTCCAGGGTCAACCGGCTTACGTTCTCGCCAACACCACCATCTCAGCTCCAGATCGTTATCCCCTCTGACGGCCCACGACGACCTTTGAGCATCCAGATTCCCTCGCCCACTACACCGACTGCTGCCTATACTGTTGCCAGCAGGCGGTTCAGCTTGCCGTTTACGCCTACATCTCCAACTTTTGTTCCTACTGATAGGTCGGCAATGTTATCTAAGGCATTTGACGACGATGACGATGAGGGTTTTGAGAAGGAGAAGCAGGTGATTGGACGAAGTGCCTCATGCGCTCGAAACGGACGACACCCTACGCTTAGGAGGGTTGCTCGGACACGGTGGGATGCGGAGAAGATCTCTTCTGGGGTCAGTCTCAAACTCGACAACTCTGCTTCTGACTCTTCCCCCGACGAAGGACTGGAGGTAGAACGGTTAGGATTCTGGGCCCTCATGCGCAACGTTTACCCTACAATCCCTCACAAACCTTTCCTCTTCCTTGGACTCATCGTCTGCTGCCTCTCTGGAGCCATGACACCCATCTTCTCCTACTTGCTCTCCCGCTTACTCTATGAAGTTGCCATTGGCGCAAGGGACGTGGCCACAATTAACAAATTCGGTGGAATAGTCCTCAGCATCGCAGCCATCGACGGCATCCTTCTTGGCTCAAAGTACTTCATCATGGAGTCTTGCGGCATGGCGTGGATAACGCACATCAGGGGCTTCGCCCTCTCCAAGGTCTTGGCGCAGGACAAGAAGTACTTTGACAAGTCAGCAAATGCCCCGACGCGGATGGTGCAGGTGTTGGTGAAGGACGGTGATGACGCGCGCAATTTAGTGTCTGTGGTGTGGGGTCAGTTTTGTGTCGTGGGCACGATGTTGGGGGTGGGGCTGGTGTGGGCTTTGGTGAGGGGGTGGCAGTTGACTTTGGTTGGGTTTGCTGTTGCGCCTGTCTTTGCGGTGACTATGATGGTGCAGACTAGGCTGGTGTCGAGGTGTGAGATAAGGAATAAGAGGGCGAGGGAGGAGGTTGCGAAGGTGTATTATGAAGTAAGCTTTTTTCTTTCTTTTTCGATCCAGGAAGAAGAAACTGATTGTGTGGATGTTTGCAGACTATCTCCAATATCCGTGGGATCAGGTGTATGGCGTTTGAGGGTATCTTTAGGTCACAGTTTGACGCTGCGACTGACAAAGCTCTCATTACTGGCGTTATGGGAGCTTTTGTTGAAGGCTGCACCTACGGGCTGGCAAGTGGCCTCATCTACCTCGCTGAAGCGCTCCTTTTTTATGTTGGGGCCATTCTCATTTCGCGGGGAACGTACACCTACCTTCAGATGGTTGAGGTCCTCAATCTTGTGGTGTTCAGTGTGACGATTGGCTCTCAACTGATGGCTTTT